ATTACTTTAGTATATTTTTCTTTTTTTGTCTTTGCTTTACTGTTTTTGTAAAATCGCTTTCCAGGCGGAATTTTGTTGATTATCTAAATACGCAACTTTGACTCCATTTGAGCGACATAATATCTCTTACAGTACTACTACGACGCGATACTCTTCAGTATGACCGCACATATTCTCCACCACAATGACCGTACTATCAATTGCCATTGTGCAACAAGCATAATTCGATCTTTTTTTGAAATACAGCACTTTTAGCTGCAGATTTATTACTATCAACCTACGTGGGCTATTTTATGAACAAGTCGATAAAAATAGAACAAAATCTTACAAACAATCGTTATATTTATAATTTACACATCATTTTACCCAACACACAGTATTGATTATTCTTTCAACTCAGTCTCTTCTGTGTCTTCCTTTTTGTCTTCTATGGTCAGCTTACCTAATTTTTCTGGACAGTGGTCTGAATCTACAGCTATATCTGGTATCTTAGTTTGGGTTGCTTCGATGTTCAGACTTTGTTGTTCTGCACCCTTTGCGCTTTCTCTCCTACTTTGTACGTTCAAACTATCGTCACTTCCCACAAAATTTTCACTAGTGCTTTCGTCTATTTTGATCTGCATCTTCTCTTCAACTTCCTTAGATATCGCTTCCATCTCTTCTTCACTTAACGCCTTCAAGCAACTCTTCACAAAATCTTGCTTAAGCTCCTTACCCAATATATCAACTAATTCTCTAATTTTTGTAAGTATAAATATAGAACGTATCTGAATATTAACTATAGGATCTTTAAACAGATTAAGTACTTGGTTAAAAAATTGTGTTTATATAATTTGCAACAGCCTTTGATATATAGTGTGACGAATCATACTGTCGGCGCCATCTGTTGGGCGAGCCTCCTACTCGCTAGAGATTCATGACCGATCTCTGCGTTTACGCGAATCATGACCGCACCAGCCACCTGGCGACGGATCGCCATCTAGATCGACGCGAAACAACCGCGACTATTCGGGAAGGCCGCTATGTGGCTCCCGATTCTTCTAGACTCAACGATGCGGACTATATAACTCGGTGGCCTGGAGATGGAAGAGACAGTACGGAATAAGACGGAGTAGCAGCGCCAAGAGAAGAATAGTGCAGTCAATGGTGACATAAGAATTAGTCAGACATAAATACTGGTGCATATACATATTTTATCAAGTTAAATAAATTAGTGCATTTCTTTTTGTGGAATCCAGTGTTTCAACCCACACCCAGAAGAACCCAGAAAAGCGCTACAATACATTATCCTCCTCAACATCTTTTTCTGTTACGTTGAAGATATCACAATTATGGTATTCTTGAAGAATGTCTAACGTATCTTCAACGTAAAGCCTCATGTTATCGTCTTTGAAGTCGAATATTAATACTTTCTTTTAAGGAAACGATGTCTCTACAAGCATGTTCTTCCAACTTTGATTGGAGTTTGTCCACCATCAAGTTATCTTTTCCAAAATCCTTGCCACGTTCTTATTCCCAGTTTGAACTAAAGATTGAAATCATTTCAAAAACTGTTTATCATGTGCATCTACAGATGGCGATATCAGCTCCATTACACCAAATAAAGGCACATAGCGATAGAGATAATTCACATCTTCGCTGAACATATTGAAGTAAGGTATATGCTCGGTAATCCAGTTCATACCGTAATACTTGACTAAAAGTGTAAGAATCGCAGGTGCAGATAAAAATAAAACAAAATCTTACAAACAGTAGTTATATTTATAAATTAAACATCATTTTACCCAACACACAGTATTGATTATTCTTTCAACTCAGTCTCTTCCGTGTCTTCTTTTTTGTCTTCTATGGCCAGCTTGCCTAATTTTTCTGTACAGTGGTCTGAATCTACAACTATATCTGGTATCTTAGTTTGGCTTGCTTCGTTGTTCACACTTTGTCGTTCTGCACCCTTTGCGCTTTCTCTCCTACTTTGTACGTTCAAACTATCGTCACTTCCCACAAAATGTTCAGTAGTGCTTTCATCTGTTTTGATCTGCATCTCCTCTTCAACCTCCTTAGATATCGCTTCCAACTCTTCTTCACTTAACGCCTTCAAGCAAGTCTTCACAAAATCTTGCTCGAGCTCTTTACGCAATGTATCAACTAATTCTCTAATTTTTGTAAGTATAAGTATAGAACGTATCTGAATATTAACTATAGGATCTTTAAACAGATTAAGTACTTGGTTAAAAAATTGTGTTTATATAATTTGCAACAGCCTTTGATATATACTGTGACGAATCATACTGTCCGCGCCATCTGTTGGGCGAGCCTCCTACTCGCTAGAGCCTCATGGCCGATCTCTGCTTTTACGCGAATCACGACCGCACCAGCCACCTGGCGGCGGATCGCCATCTAGATCGACGCGAAGCAACCGCGACTATTCGGGAAGGCCGCTATGTGGCTCCCGATTCTTCTAGACTCAACGATGCGGACTATATAACTCGGCGGCCGGGAGATGGAAGAGACAGTACGGAATAAGATGGAGTAGCAGCGCGAAGAGAAGTATAGTGCAGTCAATGGTGACAAGAATTAGTCAGACATAAATAGTGGTGCATATAAATATTTTATCAAGTTAAATAAATTAGTGCATTTCTTTTTGTGTTTTAACCCACACCCAAAAGAACCCAGAAAAACGCATCAATACATTATCCTCCTCAACATCTTTTTCTGATCCGTTGAAGATATCACAATTATGGTATTCTTGAATAATTTTTCTGTACAGTGGTCTGAATCTACAACTATATCTGGTATCTTAGTTTGGCTTGCTTCGTTGTTCACACTTTGTTGTCCTGCACCTTTTGCGCTCTCTCTCCTACTTTGTACGTTCAAACTATCGTCACTTCCCACAAAATGTTCACTAGTACTTTCATCTTTTTTGATCTGCATCTCCTCTTCAATCTCCTCTGCCATCTCTTCTTCACTCACAGCTTTCAAGCAACTCTTCACAAGATCTTGCTCAAGCTCTTTACGCAATGTATCAACTAATTCTCTAATTTTTGTAAGTATAAATAGAGATCGTATCTGAATATTAATTCATAAGCCTATGATATATACTGTGACGAATCATACTGTCGGCGCCATCTGTTGGGCGAGCCTCCTACTCGCTAGAGCTTCATGGCCGATCTCTGCTTTTACGCTAATCACGACCGCACCAGCCACCTGATGGCGGATCGCCATCTAGATCGACGCGAAGCAACCGCGACTATTCGGGAAGGCCGCTATGTGGCTCCCGATTCTTCTAGACTCAACGATGCGGACTATATAACTCGGCGGCCGGGAGATGGAAGAGAGAGTACGGAATACGATGGAGTAGCAGCGCGAAGAGAAGTATAGTGCAGTCAATGGTGACATAAGAATTTTATCTACAGATGGCGATATCAGCTCCATTACACCAAATAAAGGCGCATAGCGATAGAGATTATTCACATCTTCGCTGAATATATTGAAGTAAGGTATATGCTCGGTAATGCAGTTCATACCGTAATACTTGACTAAAAGTGTAAGAATTGCAGGTGCAGATAAAAATAAAACAAAGTCTTACAAACATTAGTTATATTTATAAATTACACATCATTTTACCCAACACACAGTATTGATTACTCTTTCAACTCAGTCTCTTCCGTGTCTTCTTTTTTGTCTTCTATGGTCAGCTTACCTAATTTTTCTGTACAGTGGTCTGAATCTACAACTATATCTGGTATCTTAGTTTGGCTTGCTTCGTTGTTCACACTTTGTTGTTCTGCACCTTTTGCGCTTTCTCTCCTACTTTGTACGTTCAAACTATCGTCACTTCCCACAAAATGTTCACTAGTGCTTTCATCTGTTTTGATCTGCATCTCCTCTTCAACCTCCTTAGATATCGCTTCCAACTCTTCTTCACTTAACGCCTTCAAGCAAGTCTTCAAAATCTTGCTCGAGCTCTTTACGCAATGTATCAACCAATTCTCTAATTTTTGTAAGTATAAATATAGAACGTATCTGAATATTAACAATAGGATCTTTAAACAGATTAAATACTTGGTTAAAAAATTGTGTTTATATAATTTGCAACAGCCTTTGATATATACTGTGACGAATCATACTGTCGGCGCCATCTGTTGGGCGAGCCACCTACACGCTAGAGCCTCATGGCCGATCTCTGCTTTTACGCCAATCACGACCGCACCAGCCACCTGGCGGCGGATCGCCATCTAGATTGACACGAAGCAACCGCGACTATTCGGGAAGGCCGCTATGTGGCTCCCGATTCTTCTACACTCAACGATGCGGACTATATAACTCGGCGGCCGGGAGATGGAAGAGAGAGTACGGAATACGATGGAGTAGCAGCGCGAAGAGAAGTATAGTGCAGTCAATGGTGGAAAGAATTAGTCAGAAATAAATAGTGGTGCATATAAATATTTTATTAAGTTAAATAAATTAGTGCATTTCTTTTTGTGGAATCCAGTGTTTTAACCCACACCCAAAAGATCCCAGAAAAACGCTACAATACATTATACTCCTCGACATATTTTTCTGTTACGTTGAAGCTATCACAATTATGGTATTTTTGAAGAATGTATAACGTATCTTCGGCGTCTAGCCTCACGGTATCATCTTTGAAGTCAAATATTAATACTTTCTTTTAAGGAAACGATGTCTTTACAAGCAGGTTCTTCCAACTTTGATTGGAGTTTGTCCACCATCAAATTTATCTTTGCCAAAATCCTTGCCACGTTCTTATTCCCAGTTTGAACTAAAGATTGAAATCATTTCAAAAACTGTTTATCTTGTGCATCCACAGATGGCGATATCAGCTCCATTATACCAAATAAAGGTACATGGCAATAGAGATAATTCACATCTTCGCTGAACATATTGAAGTAAGTTATAATATGCTCGGTAGCCCAGTTCATACCGTAATACTTGACTGAAAGTGTAAGAATCGCAGGTGCAGATAAAAATAAAACAAAATCTTACAAACAGTAGTTATATTTATAAATTACACATCATTTTACCCAACACACAGTATTGATTATTCTTTCAACTCAGTCTCTTCCGTGTCTTCTTTTTTGTCTTCTATGGTCAGCTTGCCTAATTTTTCTGTACAATGGTCTGAATCTACAACTATATCTGGTATCTTAGTTTGGCTTGCTTCGTTGTTCACACTTTGTCGTTCTGCACCTTTTGCGCTCTCTCTCCTACTTTGTACGTTCAAACTATCGTCACTTCCCACAAAATGTTCACTAGTGCTTTCATCTTTTTTGATCTGCATCTCCTCTTCAACCTCCTTAGATATCGCTTCGATCTCTTCTTCACTTAACGCCTTCAAGCAAGTCTTCACAAAATCTTGCTCAAGCTCTTTACGCAATGTATCAACCAATTCTCTAATTTTTGTAAGTATAAATATAGAACGTATCTGAATATTAACAATAGGATCTTTAAACAGATTAAATACTTGGTTAAAAAATTGTGTTTATATAATTTGCAACAGCCTTTGATATATACTGTGACAAATCATACTGTCGGCGCCAACTGTTGGGCGAGCCTCCTACTCGCTAGATCTTCATGGCCGATCTCTGCTTTTACGCGAATCACGACCGCACCAGCCACCTGGCGGCGGATCGCCATCTAGATCGACGCGAAGCAACCGCGACTATTCGGGAATGACGCTATGTGGCTCCCGATTCTTCTAGACTCAACGATGCGGTCTATATAACTCGGCGGCCGGGAGATGGAAGAGACAGTACGGAATAAGTATGGAGTAGCAGCGCGAAGAGAAGTATAGTGCAGTCAATGGTGACATAAGAATTAGTCAGACATAAATAGTGGTGCATATAAATATTTTATTAAGTTAAATAAATTAGTGCATTTCTTTTTGTGGAATCCAGTGTTTTAACCCACACCCAAAAGAACCCAGAAAAACGCTATAATACATTATCCTCCAATTATGGTATTATTGAAGAATGTCTAACGTATCTTCGGCGTCTAGCCTCACGGTATCATCTTTGAAGTCGAATATTAATACTTTCTTTTAAGGAAACGATGTCTTTACAAGCAGGTTCTTCCAACTTTGATTGGAGTTTGTCCACCATCAACTTTATATTTGCCATGATCCTTGCCACGTTCTTATTCTCAGTTTGACATAAGATGGAAATCATTTTAAATACTGTTTATCAGGTGTATCTACAGATGGCGATATCAGCTCCATTATACCAAATAAAGGTATGTACATAGCAATAGAGATAATTCACATCTTCGTTGAACATATTGAAGTAAGTTATAATATGCTCGGTAGCCCAGTTCATACCCTAATACTTGACAAAAGGTGTAAGAATCGCAGGTGCAGATAAAAATAAAACAAAATCTTACAAACAGTAGATATATTTATAAATTACACATCATTTTACCCAACACGCAGTATTGATTATTCTTTCAACTCAGTCTCTTCCGTGTCTTCTTTTTTGTCTTCTATGGTCAGCTTGTCTAATTTTTCTGTACAGTGGTCTGAATCTACAACTATATCTGGTATCTTAGTTTGGCTTGCTCCGTTGTTCACACTTTGTTGTTCTGCACCTTTTGCGCTCTCTCTCCTACTTTGTACGTTCAAACTATCGTCACTTCCCACAAAATGTTCACTAGTGCTTTCATCTTTTTTGATCTGCATCTCCTCTTCAACCTCCTTAGATATCGCTTCCATCTCTTCTTCACTTAACGCCTTCAAGCAAGTCTTCACAAAATCTTGCTCGAGCTCTTTACGCAATGTATCAGCTAATTCTCTAATTTTTGTAAGTATAAATATAGAACGTATCTGATGTTAACCAGAGGATTTTCAAATAGATTAAGTACTAGGTTAAAAATCGTGTATATATGATTTGCAATAAGCCTTTGATATATACTGTGACGAATCATACTGCCGGCGCCATCTGTTGGGCGAGCCTCCTACTCGCTAGAGCTTCATGGCCGATCTCTGCTTTTACGCGAATCACGACCGCACCAGCCACCTGGCGGCGGATCGCCATCTAGATCGACGCGAAGCAACCGCGACTATTCGGGAAGGCCGCTATGTGGCTCCCGATTCTTCTAGACTCAACGATGCGGTCTATATAACTCGGCGGCCGGGAGATGGAAGAGAGAGTACGGAATACGATGGAGTAGCAGCGCGAAGAGAAGTATAGTGCAGTCAATGGTGACATAAGAATTAGTCAGACATAAACAGTGGTGCATATAAATCTTTTATCAAGTTAAATAAATTAGTGCATTTCTTTTTGTGGAATCCAGTGTTTTAATCCACACCCAAAAGAACCCAGAAAAACGCTACAATACATTATCCTTCTCAACATATTTTTCTGTTACGTTGAGGATATCACAATTATGGTATTCTTGAAGAATGTCTAACCTATCTTCGGCGTCTAGCCTCACGGTATCATCTTTGAAGTCGAATATTAATACTTTCTTTTAAGGAAACGATGTCTTTACAAGCAGGTTCTTCCAACTTGGATTGAAGTTTGTCCACCATCAAATTATCTTTGCCAAGATCCTTACCACGTTCTTATTCCCAGTTTGAACTAAAGATTGAAATCATTTCAAAAACTGTTGATCATGTGCATCTACAGATGGCGATATCAGCTTCATTATACCAAATAAAGGCACATGGCAATAGAGATAATTCACCTCTTCCCTGAAGATATTGAAGTAAGGTATAATATGCTCGGTAGTGCAGTTCATACCGTAATACTTGCTAAAAGTGTCAGAAACGCAGGTGCAGATAAAAATAAAACAAAATCTTACAAACAGTAGTTATATTTATAAATTACACATCATTTTACCCAACACACAGTATTGATTATTCTTTCTACTCAGTCTCTTCCGTGTCTTCTTTTTTGTCTTCTATGGTCAGCTTACCTAATTTTTCTGTACAGTGGTCTGAATCTACAACTATATCTGGTATCTTAGTTTGGCTTGCTTCGTTGTTCACACTTTGTTGTTCTGCACCTTTTGCGCTTTCTCTCCTACTTTGTACGTTCAAACTATCGTCACTTCCCACAAAATGTTCACTAGTGCTTTCATCTTTTTTGATCTGCATCTCCTCTTCAACCTCCTTAGATATCGCTTCCATCTCTTCTTCACTTAACGCCTTCAAGCAAGTCTTCACAAAATCTTGCTCGAGTTCTTTACGCAATGTATCAACTAATTCTCTAATTTTTGTAAGTATAAATATAGAACGTATCTGTATATTAACTATAGGATCTTCAAACAGATTAAGTACTAGGTTAAAAAACCGTGTATATATGATTTGTAATAAGCCTTTGATATATACATTATCCTCCTCAACATCTTTTTCTGTTACGTTGAAGATATCACAATTATGGTATTCTTGAATAATGTCTAAGGTATCTTCAGCGTATAGCCCCACGTTATCGTCTTTGAAGTCGAATATTATACTTTCTTTTAAAGAAACAATGTCTTTACAAGCAGGTTCTTCCAACTTTGACTGGAGTTTGTCCACCATCAAATTTATCTTTGCCAAGATCCGTGCCGCGTTCTTATTCCCAGTTTGAACTAAAGACTGAAATCCTTTTAAATACTGTTTATCGTGAGTATCTACAGATGGCGATATCAGCTCCTTGATACCAAATAAAGGTACGTAGCGATAGAGATAATTCACATCTTTCCTGAACATATTGAAGTAAGGTATAATATGCTCGGTAGTCCAATTTATACCGAAATACTTGACTAGAAGAGGAAGAATCGCAGGTGCGGTTCTTCTTATGGCAAAAACTTTATCACCTAGCAAAGCTGCATAGTAAACTTTAAGATTTTCTTCGAAGTATTCTTTGTCTGTAACTTTAGCGATATGCATGAAACCTACAAGAAGGCACCTCCTTGTTCTCCAATGAGTACTTGAGTTGGCGATCAGTGACCTTAACACACCTTTCAACGAGTGAAATGGTCTAGTAAGATCCATGGTAGCAGGTAAAAAGTTCAGATTCTTCAGGATGTTAGCTTGAATCTGTGGAGAAGTATCCGTCTCTAACATTTCCACTATCAAAGGTAGAACGTGCTGTTTGAAACAATCTTCCGATAAGACGGATATTAGAGAAATCAAAGTGGAGGATAAGACGGCTCTAACTTCATCATTGTGATCTGAAGAAAGAGCTTTAATATGAGGTAAGATGCTTTGAACGAACACTGGTTCAAAGTTATCTTCTTGCTTGGGTTGAGATTGGTAGGTATTCTTCAAAGACTGACAATAATCTCCCAGGCTTTTGACAGCTTGCTTCCTAACGTTTGCCTCGAAGTCTCTAAGCAGTTTTTGGTACATAGCAAGTATCTTGCCTCTAGTTTTTCCGAAAGGTATGGCGACTTGTAAGTCAGCTATATTGATGGCTAGCTTTTGACGCAGTGTCCAATATAGGTCTTCCGACCAGCTTTCTATTGATTTGAATACGAGTTCTTCTATGTCGTTTTCGGTTAATTTTCTGCACAGCGCCAGAGCTACTTCTACTGCGAGAACTCGGACAGCATCCTGAAATGGATAAATAGAAATAATAATAATATTTTTATAATAATAATAATAATATTTATTCGCCATAATACAAAAAATGGGCAAATAAATATGAAAAAACCACAGAAGGCATCGCCTGTGTGTGGTTTATATCTTAATAACTAACAATCAATCATATATGTGTATAACAATTATTGTTAAATCTAAAAGGTATTAATGTAATTGGAATTTTGTAGTTTTAGTTTTCTATATAATTATGTATAGTCATTCGCTGCACATTACTAACCCAGCCTTTCAATTTTCTTCTAATTTTTTTTCCAAAATTAAGTATCTTTATTTCGTTTGGTACTACATTATATAATTTAGCTGCTAAGAATTTAAATGATTTTTTGAATAATGTTTTGTGAGGTCTTTGGATATTAGATGAGCCTATTCGAAATCGTGTTTATAGGATTTTTTCTTTTTATTACAATACTTATGGTATAAGGTGGTGGCATGTAAGAAATAAAGTTGTCTTGTATCAAGTATCCCTGTTTCTTGATATAAGCTGTTCGTTGGATATAATCTTGGCTTATGGAAAATGGCTTTCAAAACAGATTTTTGTGCTATATTCAGGACAGAAATATATGTCTTGCAGGCGGCACCCCAGGCTGTGATGCCGTATATTATATGGGTTTCAACTAAGGCATGGTATAGGATTCGCAGATAACTTTCTGTAAGAATGTTAGCAAGCATTTTGAGTTTATAGGCAACATTTCTAATTTTTTTGATAACCTATTTAATATGGTTATCCCACCTTAGATGTGAGTCTATAAATATTCCAAGATATTTCAAAGTGTTAACTCTATCGATTTTGGTCTTTTGGCCATGATAATTAACGGAAATTTGTTCAAAGGTAGGTAAAAATTTTGAATAGGATGTAAATGCAATAAATTTTGTTTTTTTGAAGTTAACTGTTAAAATTTTAGTATCAAACCAAAATCCTGTTCAGCTATTTGCTTCAGTGTGCTCCAGTCATCAGCTTTATATAATACGAGGGTGTCATCTGCAAAACATATAATCTTTCCAGAACTGTTAATTTTGAATAAGTCATTTAAGTAGAGACTAAATAATAGTGGGCCTAGTACTGTTCCTTGAGGCACACCACACTAGATGTACATTTTTTTACTGTAAGTGTTAGTGATTTTGACAGTCTGTGCCCGACTTGAAAGGTAATTTTTTAAAAGGATTTGTGACGCTCCCCTGAATCCCAATCTTTCCATAACTTTCAGAAGCTCGACATGGTTAACCGTATCAAAGGCATTTTTTAGATCAACAAAGATACCAATAGTAGGTATCTTCTTGTTGACATTAGAGTTAATTTCATCCATTGCAGCCAAAATTGCATCTGTAGTAGATTTTCCTTTTCCAAATCCATATTGGTCAGAACATATAATTTTGTTTTTGTCCAAAAATTGTAATATCCTTTTTTGTAGTAATTTTTCGAAAATTTTGGCTATATTCGATAGTACTGATATGGGTCTATAATTTGATGTTTCCATTCTGTCACCGCTTTTATAAACAGGAGTAATAACAGTTGTTTTAAATGCATCAGGACAAATTCCAGATTGGAAACACCAATTAATGACGTAAGAAAGTGGTTCGGCTAAGTCGTAGGCTATTATTTTTAAATGGTCAGCTTTGATACCATCTACACCAGGACTTTTTTTGGTTTTAAGTGATAGGACAGCTTCTTGTACTTCAATCGGACTAACGCTTTCTAAAAAGAATGAATTGGGAAGTTGGGTTTTTGTGAACTTTTCGTTCGACACCATTTTTTTAATACTGGATGCTAAATTTTCTCCAACATTAATGAAAAAATTTAAGAATGCATCGGATATTTGTCGTTTATCTGTTAATATTGTTCCATCATGATTCTTAATTTCATCAATATTTGGCTTTTCTTGAACGTCTTTGTTAGTTAAGTGATCGACAACTGACCACAGTTTTCTTGGATCAGATTTGGCATCTTGTAATTTTTTTAGATAGAATTGGCGTTTTGCTTCTCTAACTAGATTGATAAAAATATTTTTATATTCTTTATATTTATGGGAGGTATCTGCACATGGCGATGCTTTCATTATTTTGTATAGTTCCTCTTTTTTGTTGGCAGACTTTATCAAACCTTTAGTTATCCAGGGATTCCTGCTTCTGTCAAAATGTTTAATTTTAACTCTGTTTGTACTACATTCAATTAAATATTTTATGCGTTCAATGAGTGTGTTTGCAGCATCATGAACATTCGTTGCACAGTACACTGCTGTCCACGATTCTAATTTGATATTTGCAAGTAGTTTTTTATTATCGACAAAACACCTAAATTTAATAATGATAAACAAATTTTTTCGTAATTATAACAAGTCATTGCAGAGTGATAAATGCAATCGCAAAAAGGGCCAATACACTGCAAAACTGATAGTAAAAAAATATACTCCGTGACATTTATTAGAAGAAACTGCTTTCTTCACAATAACATTTTAACAAATGTAAACAAAAATAAAGATAAAACGTAGACATTGTTACCACGGCATGCTTTAAATATAATCATTATTTTACCTATTAAAGTCTACTTTATGCTTTAAATCAATAAATCTACTGAACTGAAGCTCATGTATTTTACATCATTATAAAGGGAATTGGAAGACCTTCAAAATAAGGTATCACTCGACCCCCCTTTCCATTTAAGATTTTAGGGTTGTGTCACCCCCGCCCAGGGGGCTGCACGTGTTAACGTGATTTTTTGCCAAACTTGTGTCCCTATCGCAAACAAAATCGACGGGTCTGAGCGTTTTTCCAAAAAAAAAACTGAGCTGCCAGTAAATGCGTCTGTTTCGTTTTCGATGCGCCACCCTGTATATGTATATATACTCGTAATATACCTAGAGAAAAGGTTACATAATGTAAGTGTACGACAAGCGAAATAACTTGAGCATAGAGATATACATATTAGAGACTGGACAAGAAAGACAAAAATATTCCTAAGAGAATAAAAATAGAGGAATGATGGTTATCAAATGATGGAAATGATTTGAACTAAAAAGTAAATTAAGAAACTGGCAATGTCCGTCCAACCACAGACGGTTAATCATAGGCAGCTGTTCCGTGCTTTTTGGCAACTCATCAGCAAGAGAGTGAAACAGTTGGAACTGTGTCTGGGTTCGTCTGTGGTTGAATATTCAATTGCTAGTTTGTTTGATAGTGCTGTCTGATTTTGGGTAAATTAAGAGTTCCTAGCTATGAGACAACAAAATTTCATTAGTTTATTATTTAACCAGGGGTATATAAAATGTCTGTAAGAGTATACAGGGTGCTTCAGTTTATTGTTGCATAATTTTAAGATTCGATAGAACTTAAATTAATTACAGGGTGTTTAAATTTACTTTTTAAAATAGTTTTTTTTTTAATATTTCGAACAATATTTGATGTATAATAGTGAAAATTGGTACACTGGGGTTTTTTGGTACGACAAAATGAACCATGAGCATAGTTTTACTGTAGCCGCTAGAGGGCGCTCTCTACTGTACCTGTAGTGTATGAAAACGACCGAAATTTTTTTCTTAGTGTAATTTTTTGCTTTTTGAATAAAAAAACTGATTCTTCGCACTTTTCAACATAAAAAAGCTATCATGTGAGTTTTCGTTATAGTTAGCCGTTTTTGAGATATTTCGATTTTTAAGGTTCGATGCATTTTTAATTATTTATGATAAAATAACGTTAAAAAGTCATTATCTCGATAATTTTTAGAAGTAGGCTGTGCCTGCAAATATTTTTGAAAATGAAAGCAGAATAAGGTTGTACGTCAATTAGTTGACAGTTAGTTTTGTTGTCTGTTGAAACCTGAAACATTTTTTTAGTTTCTTTTACCTGTTTTTTTTGTAAGTTTTATAAAAATGTCATTTTTATTCTCCAATCAAGAGTTAGCGGATATTCATTTTGTGTAATACACTGCAGGTACAGTAGAGAGCGCCCTCTAGCGGCTACAGTAAAACTATGCCCATGGTTCGTTTTGTCGTACCAAAAAACCCTTGTATACCAATTTTCACTGTTATACATCAAATATTGTTCGAAATATTTAAAAAAAAACTATTTTAGAAAGTAAATTAAGTATTTCGGAAGCCACGCATTTTTCGACCCATGTTTATATAGACTTTACGCATTAATTTTAAAAGTTCTATCGAATCTTAAAGTTATGCAACAATAAAATGAAACACCCTGTATATGGACTGTATCCTTACTATAGAGTCTTTTGCCAGGATGTCCAAAACAGGTACAATTTGGTCTTTGAGGTGTTGAGGGTCCATCAACTCTATGAGGTCTAGAAGGTTGATTGCTGCAGCTCTTCTCACTATCGGTGAATCATCCTGAATTAGGATCTTGTAAATGTTCCTCAAATCTGCCTTTTTTTCCTCACTAGCGTGTGGATATACTACCTGAAATATATATAGAAGTATCACTGATTATCTTGAAATGGGTTCGTTTAACACTTATTAGAACGAAAAGGGGTCCAAGAGTGAGCCATTGAAGTAAGGATACAAGCTGTATGTTTATATTCTTACTGTAAATTTGCGATAATTCTCACACCTCAACACCTTTTATGGCATTTTTTATACATAAAAAAAACGGGAATAAAACCTGATATCAAACATATTCAATTCAAAAATCGGATACGATTTGTTACATCAGAAAGACATTCTTCGAACGGATATACAGGGTGGCGCATCGAAAACGAAACAGACGCATTTACTGGCAGCTCGGTTTTTTTTTTGGAAAAACGCTCACACCCGTCGATTTTATTTTCGAAGGGGACACAAGTTTGGCAAAAAATCACGTTAAAACGTGCAGCTCCCTGGGCGGGGGTGACACCAACCCTAAAATCTTAAATGGAAAGGGGGGTCGAGTGATACCTTATTTTAAAGGTCTTTCAATTCCCTTTATAAACTTGTGTCCAACTGGAAAACAAAATCGATGGGTCTGAGTGTTTTTCAAAAAAAAAAAACTGAGCTGCCAGTGAATGCGTCTGTTTCGTTTTCGATGCGCCACCCTGCATAACAATGCTTTTACGTATTATTTCGTAATATTGTCGATTGTTGACTTTGCATTATCATTTGCTCATTCATCACTACAGGAAAAGGTGGGTCAGATTCTGTGTGGCGCATACCGGGTGATGAGGTAATGAAATAAGCAAAGTATGCCCTAGTAAAATTTCGTGACTACTGAATTACACCCAATCACTGAGAGTGCCAATGATTTCAAAAATAATTCAATAGGAATTTTCATACCGACTTTGTGCAAAGATGCTTCCTAGGTCAGCCATGGAGGATGACACTCCTTTGACTAGTATTGATAAAACGTTTTTCATTTCTACTAAAGATGCAACATTTGTGACCCCCCACCCCCTACAACCCTCGATTTTAAGCCTCAAAGTTTGAGTTTTCGTTTTTGATTGTAGCTTTGACGCACATATGCTAGGACAACCGCAAGCTGTTGGATATTCTGGACCAACATATACTAAGTGACATATAAATCCGAACACCCAGTTTAAATGGTTTTATTTTAATAAAAGTTGGTGAATGTATTTATCTTACTGTAAATAACAAGTGAAAACATTTTCAGCCTTATCAGTTGGACATTCCGGTATTTATACTGCTTTTTTTTAATTCACTAACGCTCTAAAAATGAATATTTCAGCCGCAGTAAAGAATCAACGTTGGCGGATTTTGGTTCTTGACATCCTTTACGATCGGTTACGATGCCTAGAGTACGGAGACCTGTACGATTTTGTCAACTTAGTGAGTTTGATAGGGGCCGTATAGTGGGACTTCGGGAAGCTGGACCTTCTTGTCGGGCAATTGCAGTTAGAGTGCAAAGAAGTGTAGACACTGTGGTTAGGTGTTGTCAGGCATGGCTTCGAGAAGGCCGTACGCAAAGAACAAGGGGCACTGGACGCCGCCGTAGAACAACAGACCGTTAAGATCGCCGCCTAAGATTATTGGCCTTAAGGGACCGTTTGTCCACTACCAGGTCCATTCCAAATGAATGGTTTGCAGAACACGGAAGACCTATTGGCATGCGAAGTGTTTACCGACGAATGAGAAGTTTTGGCTTGTTTTCATACCGGCCACACTGGGTCCTCCCTTTAACTCGAGAACACCGACGTAATCGCCTTGAGTGGTGCAGACAACGGTCACTCTGGGATCAGGAATGGAACAGTATTGTCTTTAGTGACGAGTCTCTATTTTGTTTAGGCATGCACGATGGTCGTGCCAGGGTTAGAAGGCGACGTGGTGAAAGGAGGAATCCACAGTTTTTTGTTGAAAGACATGTTCATCACACTGTTGGAGTTATGGTTTGGGGTGCTATAGCTTATGGTTCCAGGTCACCTTTAATCTTCATCAGAGGTAACATGAATGCGCAGCGTTGTATCCACGAAGTTCTAGAACCCCATCTTTTACCCTATCGTGACACCCTGGCAGATCCAACTTTCCAACAAGATAATGCCCGACCCCATGTTGCAAGAGTCACAATAGACTTCTTTCAACATAATGATGTCACATTGTTACCAAGATCTCCCGACTTATCCCCAATTGAGCACGTGTGGGATATGATGAGTAGGAGATTGCTCAATTTGCAACGTCCTCCACAGACTCTAGAAGCACTTCGAGAGGAGTTGGTGGTTGCCTGGAATGAGATATCACAGGAGGACATTGACCACCTGATCAGAAGCATGCCTAGGCGCGTTGGAGAATGCGTAGCACATCAGGGTGCATCCACACATTATTAAAGGTCAAAGGGCTTTAAAGCAGTGCAATCATTTTGAAATTTTTATCATTTACTTATTATGCTTCATTAAGTACTTATACAAAATTTTATTAAAATAAAACCATTTAAACTGGGTGTTCGGATTTATATGTCACTTAGTATACTTGAACGGCCCCCTTAAACATTTTGGAATTCTTATAAACCTTTGGTAAATTTAAAAGTTTTAAAAGATTTGAAAATTTTGGCAAATTTCGAAAATTTTAAACCTCAACATTTTCCACCCCGTTGCAAAATTGAAACCTCAAAAAAGGCTTTGAAGTTTTCCATTCTCTTCCAATAAGCTTCTTACCGCAAAAAGTCCAGTGGCCGAGCATTTCCCAGTGAACCACTCTTCATTGGACATCGCTTCGACCACAGGCAAGAACACCTTCTGTATCATCTCAGTATCCATATTCCTTACAATCTGGTTCATGCTCGCTACAGCCTTCTCCCTGACCACCGTCTCATCGACGTCGCACAGTTTGACCAAAATGTCCAAAAGGCACTGCGCATGCTCATAGCCACCGACCAACGGGATGAACTGCTCTAATTGATCGGAGACGTTCAGGAGGATCTCGTCATGGTAGTCCATGTGATCACGAAGGAAGGGAAGCAATTCGGTCCTGGTTAGCTCTGGCCCCAAGTGCTTGGCCAGCGGCACCAGGCGTCTAACAAATTGGAGTTGGAGCTGTAACAAGCCTTTGAGTCATTTGTCACCTAGTGGTATTTTTTTTTAAAACTGATTCAGATTCGCTTATGTGCTAGAAAACCGGAACCTACTTATTATCAAATATGACTTTCAAATGGGTTCGAGACAAAAAGAAAACAACTCGTAGACACCAGACCAACAATTGTGTCACCAACAAACTCATATACAGGGTGTTTGAGTTTATTGTTGCATAACTTTTAGATTCGATAGAACTTTTAAAATTAATGCATAAAGTCTATATAAACATGGGTCGAAAAATGCGTAGATTCCGAAATACAGGGTGTTTAAATTTACTTTCTAAAATAGTTTTTTTTAAATATTGCGAACAATATTTGATGTATAACAGTGAAAATTGGTATAGAAGAGTTTTTTGGTACGACAAACCATGGGCATAGTTTTACTGTAGCCGCTAGAGGGCGCTCTCTACTGTACCTGTAGTGCATTAAAATGACCGAAAAATATTTCTTAGTGCAATTTTTAGCTTTTTGAGTAAAAAAACTGATTCTTCGCACTTTTCAACATAAAAAAGATCTCTTGTGAATTTCCGTTACAGTTAGCCGTTTTTGAGATATTTCGATTTTTAAGGTTCGATGCATTTTTAATTATTTATGATAAAATAACGTTAAAAAGTCAGTATCTCGATAATTTTTAGAAGTAGGCTGTGCCTGCAAATATTTTTATTTTGTGTATGGCTTTGTAAATGGAAACGCAGCAGAAGCAGCCAGAGAATACGCACGAAGATTTCCAAACAGACGACATCCAACTCGCTCAGTATTTGTAAGAGTGCATCGCCAAATAATTGAAAATGGTTTTGGAAATCTCCAAAGGGATCAAAACATAAATGTTCGTCAGCGCAGAATTACCCGTATGATTCTGCGTGAGTTTGATAGAGATCCGACCGCAAGTGTCAGGAGAGTTTCTGGTGCCTTGGGAATTTCAGCAAGCCATGTTCACCGTGTTCTTAGAAATGACCATAGACGTCCTTACCATTTGCAACCTGTGCAAGGACTACAGCCAGGGGACGGAGAACGAAGAATCACATTTTGTCAGTGGATTCTTGATAGAACGGATAATAATAGGGAGTTTTTAAGTAACGTTTTATGGACCGATGAGTCATACTTCACTAGACGTGGAGTGGTAAATTTTCATAATAAACATATTTGGTCGCATGAAAATCCGCATGCAGTTCGGGAAAGAAATTTTCAGCATGAATTTAGTGTGAACGTGTGGATTGGTATCTACCGTAATCGACTATTTGGGCCCTACCTTTTGCCTGCAAGGTTAAATGCTGCGACCTTCTTGGAATTTTTAAAGGCTGAACATGCAAATATGTGGGATGATGTTATGTTAGATTTAAGAAGATTGGCCTGGTTCCAGCTTGATGGTTGTCCAGCTCATTATTCGAGAATAGTTAGAAACTGGCTGGACGAAAATTATCCAGAAAGATAGAGGAAATTTAGACAAGTGGACACCGCGCGGTAATTCCCCTACTCGGTTCTAAAGCGAGTAGGGGAATTACCGCGCGCTGTTCACTAAACGTATGCATTATTTGCGGGAATCCCCGAAAATGTGTTTCGTTTTCAAGCACAGACAATGTGAGGGTTGCCATGCGGGTAAAAAAGTAAATAACTCCCGATGACGTAATCATCATCTAGACTCCCCTACCCCCCATGTCATCCAAAATAAGCAAAGCAAAGATACTGCTCACGTAATACTTGAACGGCCCCTAAAACTTCAACACCCCGAATTTTTCTAAGGAAACATTTTTGGACCATAGTTTATAGAGCAAACTAACATCAATTATTCATGTAGATTAATACCCTTAAATAGTCGCATAACATTAAGGACCACCCTGTATGAATTTGTTGGTGGTACAATTCTTCGTTTGGGATCTGCGAATTTTTTTCTGTTTTTATGAATCTGTAGCTAACTTCAGGGACGTGGGAAACTCTGCTGGGTTGCGTCACCACTTTTTCAAATAGTCTCGGGCGGCTGACAATCCAGACCAGAGCGACCCCTCGATAAGACGTACAAGGGGTGACTACGTGCCTACAATTCAGACGTACAGTAATGGACAAAAGTATATAGACAAATATGAATATTTACCTAAATACCTTTAGAAAACGAATTCATACTTCATTGCTCCATAAACAAATGCGTTATTAGTAGAAAAACTAAATTCCTTGTTTTTACATTATCTGCAATGAACACAATACAAGTCTGAATACAAGCAGTTTTTAATGAGGGACAAAAATATGTAGACAAATTAGATATACAGCGCGTCAGTGATAGCCAGTCTCACCTTCATCATGTAGCAAGTGGAGTTCCTCAAGGCTCTGTCTTGGGGCCAGTGCTGTTCCTTCTGTATACAAGCGACCTGCCCGCATTGATTTCCTCCACATGTTCAGCTTATGCCGACGACACCAAGATTTACAATACTGTCGTAAATTCTGCTATGCTTCAACGAGATCTTGATATTGTTTGTCAATGGTCAGTCAGTTGGCTTTTACCCTTAAATCTAACTAAGTGTTGTGTCCTTCACCTCGGGAAGACAAATCCGCGATTTACGTACAAGATCTCTGACCACAACATCGAAGCAGTTTCCAGCCACACTGACCTGGGCGTTGTAGTCAACGATCGTCTTTCCTGGTCAGAGCATATTCACCACGTTACATCAAAAGCCAAGAAACTTCTATACATGCTGGAGAGGTCTTTCAAAGGATCCGATGTCAACACTTGCGCCTACATTTACAAGGCATTCGTGAGGCCAATTCTTGAATTCGCTGGCCCGGTATGGGACACTGTGCTTCTGCGCGATAGAAATCTCGTCGAATCAGTACAGCGTCGGGCTACTCGTATCCCTTTTGGAGCACGAAGACCAAGCTATGAAGATCGCCTTGAGTTATTCAACCTGACCTCATTCTCTGAGCGAATACTTCGTGGCGATCTTATAGTTACGTTCAGGATACTTCATGGTTTGATGGGCACCAACCTCATGCATCTATACCGTCTGTCGCGCAGCAATCTACGCGGACACAGCTTCAAATTGCATAAGGAGCCATTTAAAACAACAGTCCGACAGTGGTTTCTTCCCAACCGCATATTCAACACCTGGAATAGTTTACCTGAAAGTGTGGTTGGTGCTACTTCAGTTAATAGCTTCAAAGTGCAGTATGATAGCTGGATGAGTGTACAAACTTTATAGCTATGAACTGTCTTTTTTTATTTTTTTCTATTTGATGTATTTGTGTTACGTGTCCGTACACTATATTTACTGCATGAGCTTAAGTACTGTGTACTCTGCTCATCTCAATTATCATAATAATAATAATAATAATATTAATTTGTCTGTATACTTTTGTCCATTACTGTATATTAGCTGTCAAAATTTCGTAACGCCACTACTTTCTCTTTTCCTCACTTGACAGCTTTTATTGAATGAAAACCCAAAGTCAACTTACCTCCAAATTCTCCTCCTTGAACCCCTCCTTGAGCACATCAAATTCCCGGATAACGGACTTTTCATCCATTTCAACTACGATTATTTGAAACAAAACACTGTTGTCATACAGGTAGTATCTTATCTGGAGTACCTATAGTTCCTTATCAGTTAGTGGGTTATGTGACGAACGTTTAAAATAACATTGCACACGATAACGGAAAAGCTCGATAGCGCCCACATGATATCCATTAGTACAACTGATCATACGGCTAGGAGAGCCTTACACGAATTCAGGCCGAGCGAACGTTTTATCTCGAATTTCTTATCATCTGGGACCAACGCGCGCGATTTCTGCACATCGAATCAAGTTGGCGCAGAGCTTTTCAGTTGTTTCGCAAGAATGTAAAGTAGGCCTTGGCTTTGCCTTGAACGTCTATAACGTGCGCTGGGTTTGTAGTTAGTGAATGACTGAATTGATGATTCGGATTTCGCGCGGGCCGCCTAATACTTCCAAAGCGCGCCAGTGGCGCAGCATAAGGTAAAAGGGGTCTATCTGAGCGAGCTATGAAATCAGTGGCGTAGTTAGAAGTCCTGGGGCCCCGGGGCAAACATTTTTTGGGGGCCCTAATGAGTATGTTTAAGAATAAAAAATATCATGTTATAATACGAGTAAAAAAACAAAAAGTAACACAAATTAAAATAATGAAATAACAAAAGTAAAAAATTAAACAATAATAAAATTAAAAATCCCTTTATCTTGCTTTTCTATTTGCAAATTCGTTGATAATATCATTTATATCGAGGTTTTGGGCTTCTTCATTCTCTATAGAGAGCAAAGCAAGATCGCTTAATCTAATCTGGCCTGTAGTAGACCTAAGATAGTTTTTTACAAGTTTTAGCTTGTTAAATGATCTTTCAACAAATGCAGTAGTTACAGGCAACGTAAAAAATAAAATGAAAGTAAACTTCACTGAAGTCTTTCAAGTACCCCATACTTACTTAAAATTATATTGAAATATTACTTAATTGATAGATCATTCTTAAGGTCTCTTTTACAAACATTTAACAAATTGGTATACTGAAATATTAAATTATTTAAATCAAATATTTCAGGATATTTGTTATAAATGGCTGTACATTTATTTTTAATGGATGTTTCATCGCAACTTAATATAATTTTTGGAAGAAGTAAATCAAACAATTTATTAATTTTTTTCATGCTCCTAAATCTATTAGAAATCTGTGTCAGAACACGGTTCATAACAACATTAAAAACATTTATTTTAAATAAAATTTGAGTATTATTAAATCTGTAATCACTTAAGAGTTCGTCAAAGTGTTTTTTAACTCTGGGTTGCCTGAATTCTGGTTGAATATTCCATTTGTTGCCAGTTCCGTAGCTTCAATCATTAAAATCTCCTAACAAGTTCTTAAGTCAGTAAGGTGCTTTTCTACTTGTTCTAAAACAGTCACAGATTCACTTAAATCAATATTTTTCTTTTGAAGGACCTTTGAGGTGAAGTTAACCTGGGTAAAGATTTTATACAACATTGTTGAAATAAATAAAAATTCAAAGCAACACATTTGTTTTTTAATGGAAGAAGCTTCTTCTCTTTCTTCTTTTTTATGAGACTGTAACTCTATTTCTGTTGAAGATTTAATAATATCAAGATAACGAAGTTTGACAGCACTAATAGACGATATCCTTCCTGACCAACGAGTTGGTTTTAATGTTTTTAAAGTTGTTCTGGATTCACTGGTAAAAGAAGCTAAAAGATCCCATCTATCAATACTTAAACCAAAAAAAGAATATACGGGTGACTTCGAAGTTGAGTCATTTATTTTAACAGTGAGTAGATCTGATCAAAAGAAATGTTTTTTTCCTTTACCATTTTTCTGGTAAAATTAAAGTAACAAAGTTATAGCCCTTTGGAAGTTTGAGTACCGCCCTGTCTCAATAATAAAATTATGTGCTCGTGTTTGGCGACAACGGATATAATTCGCCTTATCGGTTCATCGCATCGGAAACAAAAAAGCGAAAGAATTTGGAACGATGTTTTTACAATTATTTCATTCAGGTGTATACAGTCAGTGTCAGTCGGTAGTGGATAGTGGTATCTGTTGCGTGGCTCAAACGAAATAAAAAATGGCACATGTTTATGCGGATCGGTTTCCCAATCGAGTGCAACTAACCCCTCGTTTCTTTGTTAATGTAGTACAACGGGTTCGTGAATCATTTGACTTAAGACCTTACATTAAAATTTTTTTTTTAATTTTTTTTTATTTTTACACACATATTTTGGTTTATCTTCCTTCTACAATCATTATCTGAGAATTAATGACTCAACTTCAAAGTCACCCTGTATATTTTGCATAGTTACTTGTTCTTTTTCAGCATGCTTTTTTAATTTTTCCTCTTTCTCTATTTTCAATTTTCGTTTCTGTGCTCCAGACTGATATTTCCGCTTATCTTCCATTTTTATTTTTTTTGCGTTTTGTTCCGCAATCTGTTAATTCTGCAAAGAGAAGAATACACAACCATTTTTAAATGCATTAAATAGTTCGATAGTTGTGTATCAATTAGACTATTTCAAAAAAATTGTCTATTTTTTTCTCTCAAGTACGTCGAAAATATTGTTAGAAATGACGAAAAAAAATCCTGTAAAAGTAACAGCTCTTAATATTAATATTAAGTGGTGCCGCATCGAAAATTTCAATTTCCCTCGAAAAACTTTTGAACGAGTAGGTTTATCGGAAATTTGTAAGAGACTTTTTTTTAAAGCATTCAATTCCCTACAAGAGTAAACTATGAACTCATCCGTATGATAATTTAGTAATGAGAAAAAAATTCAAAAGTTGAAAACAATCTTTTTCCCATGTTAATGAAGAAATGTTAAAGAGCTGTAACTTTTACAGGATTTTTTTTCATCATTTCTAACAATTTGTTCGATATACTATATACTTAAGAGAAAAAAAAATAGTCGATATTTTTGAAACAGTCAATAGATCATTTTTAGTCTTTAAGAAGCTTTTCGAATTTAGCGTCGGGTTTAAGGTGCCCGCAGAGTTTCTGTAACATAAGACTTAAGCTGTAACGTAATTTCTCATGCCTTAAGGCTTAAGTCTTGACTATACTTTATAAATCACCTGATCAGAATTCTGTATAATTCCTTGCAGTTAAGTCTTAATCTGTCTTAAATGAAACTTAAAACTCTTAAGTCTTACGTTACGGAAATTCTGCGGGCGCCTTTACTCAGCAAGGTAATGGACAAATGTCCATTTACAAACAAAATTACGCACAAATCAAAATCGAGCCATTTATTCATTAAGTAATATAACTTACACTTACCTTTTTTCCTACTAGGTACCTTATTATAACGAGACACAATAGTCGCAATACAAATATAGTAATGTTATTTTACACCACGCCGGGCACCGCGGCACGACTACGACACATATCAATATCACATAGGGCACGCTGGGTAGTTAAAATCACCAAAACAATAGATCGGGGAATCCCCAAAGACGAGACGTAATATTGAGGCGGTGGTGCCAAGCCCGTCGCGGTCCGACGGATTATAGCTACATACATTTAGGAACGCAAGCGTTTTCCTCAAATATGTAGCGTTTTAAAAAATAAACATTATTTATCATTATATTTATTATTTATTTTTATTTCTAGTATACCTAGGTTACATTAGCACTTAATCAATTTATTGGTGATCGGCGCTTAAAAACAATTTTTTTGAGGCGCATGGCCGGTGCCCCCTATAAGCCGGGCCCCGGAGCACCGCCCCGGTTTGCCCTAGGATAGCTACGCTCCTGTATGAAATATTTGAGAATTTTAAGCAATGACAGATTTTTTACTTGCCTACCAGCGAGGAGGTATTGAAATCGCGAAAATTGAGATACAGTAATGTCCGCTTATAATGAACCTCAAGGGACCGGCGAAACTGGGTCGCTATAAGCGAAGTTCGTAATAAACGATAAATAATGCTAATACCAGAAAATATTTTTCATTAGTTTATTATTTAACCAGGGGTATATAAAATGTCTGTAATAGTATACAGGGTGTTTCAGTTTATTGTTGCATAACTTTAAGATTCGATAGAACTTTTAAAATTAATGCATAAAGTCTATATAAACATGGGTCGAAAAATGCGTCGCTTCCGAAATACAGGGTGTTTAAATTTACTTTCTAAAATAGTTTTTTTTTTAAATATTTCGAACAATATTTGATGTATAACAGTGAAAATTGGTATACAAGGGTTTTACTGTAGCCGCTAGAGGGCGCTCTCTACTGTACCTGTAGTGTATTAAAATGACCGAAAATTTTTTCTTAGTGCAATTTTTTGCTTTTTGAATGAAAAAACTGATTCTTCGCACTTGTCAACATAAAAAAGCTCTCATGTGAGTTTTCGTTATAGTTAGCCGTTTTTGAGATATTTCGAGTTTTAAGATTCGATGCATTTTTAATTATTTATGGGAAAATAATATTTTTTTTACATTTTCGATTTGGGCATTACAGGTAATTAAGATGATCGTTTAGATTGTGTTTTTAAACACAGCCATAATTCCTAACTCCAAATAAACACAAAAAAACAGAATATTAATTTTCCAATATTATTTTTAACAAATTAAATTAATTATTTACAACTAAAATGCTATTGGATTGTTAGGACAAACATACAAAATCTAAAGTAGTTGCTCGAAATGTAAACCCAATTGTTCAATACACAATTCACATCTACGAATGATCGAACGTGGTATAGCATTATTCAAATAAGGCCTTATTTCATCACATGCATTCCTGATTCTGTCTATTAGCATATCTCTTGTGGTTACGGGAGTCTGGTACACTTTTTCTTTTAGAAATCCCCACACAAAGAAATCTAATGGATTTAGGTCAGGGGATCGTGGAGGCCAGGCGACTGGTCCTCCACGGCCGATCCATCTTTCTGGATAATTTTCGTCCAGCCAGTTTCTAACTATTCTCGAATAAAGAGCTGGACAACCATCAAGCTGGAACCAGGCCAATCTTCTTAAATCTAACATAACATCATCCCACATATTTGCATGCATCAAATATTGTTCGAAATATTTAAAAAAAACTATTTTAGAAAGTAAATTTAAACACCCTGTATTTCGGAAGCCACGCATTTTTCGACCCATGTTTATATAGACTTTATGCATTAATTTTAAAAGTTCTATCGAATCTTAAAGTTACGCAACAATAAACTGAAACACCCTGTATAATAATATCTATAATACACATTTATAAAAGTTTTTGAAAATCTTTCTTAAAAAATCATTTATTTTAGTTTGGTTTATTTTTGTGAAATGAATATCATTAACATGTGATTCCACTTCAGCTAGTCGATCTAGCACACGCTGCGGAGTATTTCGTGACTGAAGGAAATGACGAACGCTGTCAATATGTCGAAGTGCTTCTGATATGGTT